GCGTCCTTAAGATTCGATACTACCAGTATAAATAAAGGTTAAATAACAAATAAATAAAAAGGATGATGCAACTCTCCAATCCAAGTTCAGGTCTGAGCTGGTTTGTAGTTTTTTTTTGTTTCTTTGTAACTTTCAAACAGTTCATTTGCTGGATGTTTTTATTTATTTAGGCCTCTGTTTCGTTGTTCTCCACTTAGCCACTTTCGTCCTGTTTTCATCACACTGTATCAGAGGCTTCATGGACTAAAGAGGAAAGAAAATATGAAAAAGAAGCTTCAGCTTAAAGAAAAACTCTTAAACCTCTTCAGAAAACCTGAATAATAGTTGCAAAGTTCACAAGACAGCCTGGCTCTTTAAAAGCAAAGTAATAAAACAAACAAAAAAAAAGGATAAAACGTGGTTTAAAACTTTTGCAAATGTTATAATTGTAAAAAAAAAAATTAAATTTAGTGGGTGCGGCTTATATTCGGGTGAGTCCGGAAATGACGGTATTCCAATGTTTAAGTGTTCTGTGTTTGAGTCTCAGCTGTTGTAGATATAAAGTAGAAGTCAGGGAATATCTGTATCATGAAGGTTCATTAAATGATAAAATGACTCATCTGCAGGCACACCAGCAAGAAGATTAAAGGTTGCACACCTGAACTGAAAGTCATTCCATAAAAAGTTTGAGCATCGCTGGATTGGCTCCAACTATTTTCATTCATCTGTGGATAAATATGTAATCCCACTTTGTTTCCATTTCTCTCGTTTTATGTTTCCTGTAAGTTTTAAAGCAATATACCCCTCACTTCCACAGGTACCTTTCAGATGTGTGAAACCAGCTCCCAGGGGTGAAACGGACCCCCTCCCTTCGATCACCTGAACTCCCCAGCAGTGGACTCTGCACGGCTGTGCAGCCCCTCTGCCCTGCAGCTGGAGGTGTCTGTTTCACAGTGATGCGGGACCTGGGAGGATACTGTTTCACAGGTACAAAAAGTGTCTGCTCTAATCCTATCGTGGAGAGTGAGTGGTCAGGGTTTATGGCTCCTGCCTAATCCCAGGTTTATCCATCCCGGGAGACCCAGAGCACGCAGAGAGGAAGAGATTAGTGCCCCTCTTTCAGATTTTATTCAATCAATGTTTGCACCGCAAACGTCAAGAGGGAGCCATCGCACGCCTCGGTGCACACGGAAAAGGACTGGTAATGGATGCAGTTAAACGTCCTCTCTTGAAGCTGCTATGAAGAACCCAGCGCTCTATGTAATTAGTTTTATTATTGCTTCTAGTTTTAATTGATTAGATAATGACCCAAACTTAAACTGAAACAAGATCAAGAGTCGTTGCAGAGGTCAGGTTTGGAAAATTAGAAATGTAAAAGGAGAATAAAAAATCAGTGCTTTGCTGATTTGTTGCGCAACGTATTTTTCGGACTATAAGGCGCACTGGATTATAAGGCGCGTTAAGCGAAACTAAAACATTTTGACAGATTTTTGAGTGCCGTGTACCACATAAAATCAGTTTGAGGTCAGTAAGTACAACCAGAATTAATACATAAGGCGCACCGGATTATAAGGCTCACTGTTGATTTTTGAGAAAATTAAAGGATTTTAAGTGCGCCTTATAGTCCAAAAAATACAGTACTTGTCTCATCAGCAGGATTATGTAAATATTCATCAATCTACATGGATATTTTTTAAGCGGAACCTGTAACGAGATGTGATCATAGCAGTCTGAAAACACAAATGTATGAATGAAAGCTTCTCCTGCACCTCAGAAACCACGGTGGATATTTTACTCCACCAACAGGCCAGAAATGTCTTTGATTCATTGTAGACAGCAGACATCCCCAGAAATTTAATCCATATTCGCGCTGGCGACAACAAAGCAAATCGCCGCATCCTTCTGCAGGTTCCTTGAAGTGTGAAACTTGAAGGACGAGTGGTTCTTTTGAAGGCAGGTAGAAGGCGTTGCGGGGCTGAGAGGTGCTGGAAAGGGCATGTCCTAACAGACTTTGGGCCCTGAGTGATGGGACACGGGAACAGGTAACGGGACACCTCGGTGCTCGCTCTAGTGTCAACACGGCCATGTGAATCACAGCTGTGAGCACGTCTGAAGATCCAGGAGACACAATAGAGGCTTATGTGAAGCTTTCACCGAATCAGCAGCACTGTATTTGTCAGAAGAACCTTTGAAATAGATTAAACTGATTTTGTAATAAACCATCAAAGCGCTTCCAAACGGGAACAAAGATCAAATATGTAACTAAAGCTTTAAGATATTGACTTAAACTCATCTTTTATGTTGAGCCTTAATGGTAAACTCATCCATGTGGCGCCTCAGCGTTAATTCTGTAAAAATCTGAATGAGATAAATTGACCCAAACGATGCCAAGAAAATGATCCAGGAGGTCAAAAGAGCCACCAAAGTCACTAACTGTGGGGAGAGTGTCACATTTTCCATTGATTATTGATTAATATTCATTCATCTGAGCTCAACAGGCTGCAAAACTGTGTCCTACAAGTAAACAGCCATGTCTTGTATTTACATCATGTCAACGTTAGGGGGCAGCAGAGTCATTGTTTGTGAACCACCTTCTTATGTATGTAATGTTTTATGTAATGTGCAAACTGTTCTGATTGAGAAACTTTTTTTTTTTTTCATAAGCATTGCAGCAATTTAAACCCCTGGATTAACATAATAATAATAACAATACAGCATGTTTGAAAAGTGTAATTTTATGAGTGAAAGCCAAAATGTACCAATTATAGTTTTACTCTGAAATTCAGTTAAAACTTTGGGATCATTGCTTACAATATGACAATATTAAAACATATTTTCTCTAAAATGTTAGTACGAGAAGCAACAAACTAATTTCTGCATTTTGTACAAAAACATGCTTTACTGTCAGGAGTTATAATCTATGTTTTTCCATAAGTGATTTATGCCTTTATTACAACAAACTAGATTATTGTAATAGCTTCTTTATGAGTATAAATTAGTCGTTGCTTGCAGTCAAATGTATTTTAACAGGAAAATATTAATGAACCAAGTCTTCTGAGTTTCAGGAAAGGTTTTGAATAGTTAATATCTTACCTGTTGCAGGTAGCTATTTGAACAACGTCCGTTTGGAAAAATAGAAGCTAAGGCGGACCAGGTGGATGAGCTAAAGGCTAATCTGAGCTGAGGCAAGCAAAAAGTGAACTGCTGCCATCATAAAACAATTCCAATTCAAAATATTTTATGTCGTTTACACAAATCCTATTATAGAAAACTGTGGTTGCCATTAATTTTGTATTACTTAGTATTCAGGTGGCTGTGTGTGATCACAAATAGTGCAGTGGTTAGCGGTAGCACTTTTATTAAAACATTGCAAATTCCCTGCAGGATAATCATAAAACTTCTGGGGAAATATCCATGTTATGCGTAATGAACCGCAGTGTTTTACAAAATAGCAATCCCTGCTCTGACTTGTCATTAGCTCCACCTGGTCAGAAATCAACCATTTCTCCAGTCTGATGTTCAGAGATTGACCTACAATAAGGTGTGACTTGTTCCTAACTTTACATGAGATCTCACTTCAAAAGATGTGAAATGTCTTTTTAAGATTTTATTGTATGATAATGGTCTGACGCCATCTTTTACATCATCATAATTCATCTGGAACACTGAGGTTGAACAATCAGATGCTGAAGAACTCAGAGGTTAGACCATGTCAGAATAAATAACTGGCGTTTGACTTAAAGAGATAATCTGGTGATTTTTGAAGTGATGTTCTGTAAGATAGTTATCAATAGTTAGTATATGATCAGATGTGACACAGTCATAGAGCAGAGTGTGAAACTAGGACAGGCGTTTTCTTCCAGGGTAGCTTAACAACTGCCTGTTTGGCTAGACTTTAGCTGTTTTCTCAACCAAACGTTCAGACACCAACATTTACACACAAACAGACTTGAAGCAACACGCATGCTGTTGGGTGGAGATAAACAACGACAGACTAAACAAACAGGGTCATTCAAAAAAATGTTAAAAAAATTTGAGATTTAGTATTTGTTGTGATGAATTTGCAACCTGCAGTGGCGATTTTAGCCTCTTTTTGGGGGTGCTCAAGCGCCCCTAAATTGAAATTCAGCACCACTTGGAAAAAAACCATCATTAGGATTTTGTAAGGTAACTCAGTTCTCAAAACTTAGATTCACCAAAATTGTGAATAAATATAGAATAAATGATGACACTTAAACGGGGGGGGGGGGGGGGGGGGGGGGGGGGGGTTAGGATGCGTGAGAGATGCAAAGCATGCTCTATTCACACAAGGGGAGCTGTTGGTCAGGCTACTTCTTGTGCCATTCTCTCTAAAATAGTTACTGAATCGTTTACTTATGTAGGTAAACTAGATGTTTAACAACCGGTTAAAATACACCAGAATGCAGGAAATGGCATCTACTTTACTCAAAATTTTCTGGGGGAGGACCCCCAGACCTCCCACCTGTGTGCCCCCCTCACATTACAAATGCTTCTGACGTCACTGGTCACTGCGCTGTTCAAGCCAAGAGCGATTATCAGCACTGGGGGCTGAAAGGGCACCCTTGGAGAACAGATTTTACAATCGCCCCTGCCCTGGCGACCTGACCAGTATGTCCTCCGCCTCTCGCACAGTCTGGATATGGGCACCAGTGACCCCTGTGACCCAGAAAGGAAGAAGTAGGTGAAGATAATGGATGGATGGTTTAGTATTTGCTACAGTTTCTTTTCTTCACACCTGGATGCCATTTCTAAAAAAAATATTTGTTTTATAAGCACAAATATACATGTAAAAACGAGCCCTCGTTCAGCTAGCCATTAGCCTAGCCTAAAAGAAGTATTCTGCCTTTTTTCCATACATTAGCTCCGTGACTGGTGTCACAGCTGATCCATGTGTTTTTAGATTTACACAGTGAACACATTTATGTTATATTTACTTCTTGTCATTTGGGAGTGCTGCTGTGAAAGTTTAGGACAAAATGTAAAAATGAAACTTCCTAACTGCTTATATCCAACACACATAATAAAGTTCACAAGTTTTAATTGTTGTTTCCGATTTCATTACAACCACCAAAAAATAAGGTACTAATAATAGTTGTTTAGTAGAACATCACTTCAAAAATCACCAGACTATCCCTTTAACCTTATATTGTTTTACCTATTACTTTACTTCCTTGTATACATGTTTTATTTTTCCCTGCTGACCTCACCCTGTGTCTGTTACTGATTTATGACATTATTTTATTGCAGTTTTATATCATTGTTGCTGTGCAGAACTTTGTTGCAACGTTTGTTTCTTTTGTAGGCGCCACATAAATAGAATCGACGTCACAAAAACGTCTTCCAAGAGAGTCAAAAAGAATTTCGTCAGAGTCTCTGAAATCTGACTCGGCTGTCTCTAATACATCATGATCTCCTTGGGAGCGTCTTCCGTCGGCCTCTCCTGCTCTCGTCTCTGGGTGTAGGCGGCGTGGTCGTACATGTAGATGATCAGAACGGCGCCCAGAGAGAACACCGTGTAAGGGATGACCAGGAAGTATCCAACCTGCATGACCGAAGACTTGTTTCTCAGATTTACCGGGAGATTGGAGCTGGTTTTAACCAACTCCTCCGGCATGCTGGTCACATTGAGGTTCAGCACAAATATGATGAGGACCACCACGGATAGGCACGCTGCAGAAGAAACAGCACAATTACAGTCCTGCTGCAACCCCCTCAAACAAACAGTGGAACAGATGATGTCATATTAGCGCCGCTTACCGCTGAGGGAGCTGCAGGTGTAAACTCCAACAGGCCCGAGGTAGGTCTGATAAGGATTACTGACGCTGTTGTAGAGGGAGACGAGGATGCTGATGGCAGAGAACAGCAAACACAAAGCCAGCAGGCCCACCGTCAACACATGCAGAGCCAGAGGAGCTGCTCCTGTTGCTTCCAACTTTGGAAACACTACACACACAGACACACAAACATGGCCGACGTTATGTTAACACAAGACAGCTTGCAGATACTGAGATCTGCGAGAGTTAGTAGGAGAGATCATATCTCTCCAATTTAGCTTCTCTCCATTGGCTCCCTATTAAATTTAGAATAGAATTCAAAATCTTACTTCTAACCTACAAAGCCCTCAACAACCTAGCTCCATCTTATATATGAGATCTTATTGTTCCACATTTTCCTAACAGAGCACTTCACTTTCAGACTGCAGGCTTACTTAAAGTTCCTAGAGTTCCCAAAAGCAGAATGGGAGGGAGACCTTTCAGTTATCAGACTCCGACATTGTCCAGTTTTAAGACTGGGCTCAAGACTTTCCTTCTTGATGAATCCTATAGTTAGGGTTGACTTGTTATGCAGCCATAGGCTTAGACTACTAGAGGACAAACTGACTACATTTCTTATAATGAACTGTTAAAATTGAATACTTTTCATTTGATATTATTTCTATCTCAACATGTGGTTCTCGACCTGCCATTGTGTATCTGTTCCTCTCAAACCCAGCCAGTTGAAGCAGCTTGTCCTGAGCCTGGTTCTGCTAGAGGTTTCTTCCTCACGAGGGAGTTTTTCCTTTCCACTGTCGCCTTCATGCTTGCTCAAGATGAGAGTCTGTGATGAAGTTAAATTCTAAGCAGTCTGCTCCTCAGATAAATAATGTTAAATTATTATTTTTATATATTACTATTTCTGTTGTGACTTGGCGCTATATAAATAAACTGAACTGAATGGAGTAAGAGGGAATTGTACACTTTTTTTTAATCTAATATCCTGAGCAGCTAAGAAAAACAAAAATCATATAGGCTCATAATTTGTCTTTATGATATGTTTGTGCCACTTTAGACTAATTTTAATAAAACTCTTAAAGTGCTCATTAGATGAACATCCACAATAGTCAACCCCTGTCAAAATGGCTGCCACAGCTAAGCAGCCGAAGCAAAACCAAAAATATCTCTGTCAATCCGTTTAACAGATACTGAGCTAAACTTTGGTGTGGCAGTAGCTGAGAGTCATCCTCAACGTGCACTGTGAGCACTAACTGAACGTGCCAGAGCTCTTTTTTTTTTTTTTTACTTTGCTATTAGTTAATAGGTTGCCAGTGTGTTAGCAAAATATCTCATGAACCCTGGATGTTTTTTAATGAAACCATGAAAATAATAACTTTTGGCGTCAGTTCAAATCAAGATGGCTGCCACAGCCAAGAAACCACACGACAATGACAATAACTCATTTACATTTTACAGAGTAGACTAAAAATTGGTGGGGTGGTTGTTGAGACCAATCCCCAACACAAACTTAGAGTACTGCACAATGTGCGATATTTTTGATACAACTGTGGCAACGATTGCTGATGTCAATCAACACTTGGTCTGTTAGCAAAAGATCTCATGAACAACTTGACAGATTTGAGTAAAACTTTATTAGATGTACATCTACAGATGACTTTTAGAGTGAACCCAGTTCAAAATGGCCACCACGGCTAATCAACCTTAGCAACTCAAAAAATGTCTATAATTTAGTTTTACAGATAATGAGCTCACTTTTGGTGGTAGTAGTTGGTTAACCCTAACTGTACCCCAACACATAAACCAGTGAAATACTGCAATACCGTGGAAGTACCAGTACCTAAATGTTTGCTTTAGTTTTGCCAAGTGGAAAGTTACCTTTAAAATTCTCTTGATTTCCAAAACTGGGACAGGACTCTCTCTTTAATGATCCATCGAACAGGTCCATTTCGATCTCTGCCGTCCCGTTGAACTGGTCGCTGTTGGACGCGGCACACTCCATGAACGTGTAAGCCCACTTTGTTGACATGGCGAATCCCAGCAAGCCCACAGAGATGGCAGTAACCAGAGCACTAAAGAGGAAATGTAAAGTCTTGATCAGGGATGGCATTGTGGCTGAATCCCAGTTATTCCCAGCGGCTCTTCTGTAAAACTCGGATGAAGTCTCTGAAGCAGATTTGTCTCCAGGGTGGAGGGAAATGTGGAGTGCTGGTTGTAAAACCTGCTGTTTATGACGGCGACCTTTGGTTCGGATGGAGGAAAGACAACCGGTTGTCATAGTAGGGACACTGGTTTCACCTAAACATGAGAACTTCATCATGGCAGGCATGAGATTGTGATGGATTATATTGACCGAACGTGCAGAGCAGTGGATTTAGATCGTCCTCGGTTCCACTTCAGGGCGCAAAATAAAAATATAGTTCATGATTTTCACCATTTTTCTGACGCACTTTGAGTAATTTGTGCTCCCAGTCATAGATTCAAAGTCCTGCTCTCGGGATTGCCGGGCTATAAAACAAATCAATGATTTACTTTTTTTTTTTTAAAGTACAGTAACAGGAAGAGGACTAATCACATGAATATGTCACTGAAGAGGCAGTAAATCCATGACTGGGTTGGCATGAATTTAAATAAAATATGAGGATGTGTTTGGAACATGATTACAGTGGTTCTGTCATAAAAAACAAAGAAAGCGACGGGAAAATTATATTTACATGTTATTTTGTGCTGTATTTCTCCTTTGTTGTACTAACTTTAATTCAAACAGATTCATGAAACAATGATTAGAAATATAAACCTTCAGGACTGCCTGATTCCTTTTAATGATAGATAAGATGAAGGAAAAGACTGGGTCTACTTTTATGTAATTCTAAACGCCCTAATCTCTATGAGTTTTTAATTATTTTATTGCACATGGGTGTAATAATCTGAGACTATTCTAAAATTTTAACAAAGGGCTCACATCTTTTTTCTATCAGTGGCAAAAATAAAACATATAAGTGCTATATAAATAAATTTAACATCAACATTGCGCTAATTCATTACACATGTCCTAAAAGCCTAGCTCCCCGCCCCCGCTGACTTTTTTTTGTTGCCAGTTTTATACTAAGACTTTTATACTTCATGAAATATCACCAAATGTCACTTTCACCATTTGTTGTGAATGACTCTCAGCAACCAGTACACCTAATTTTAACACTTAAACCAGTAAAATCAAGCAAATTATGTGCATTTTTGTGTTTTCCAAGTGAAGTTGGCTGTGGCTGCCATCTTAAATCACATTGATTAAGCTGTAGAGGTCTGTCAAATGTCATAAAAAGTTGCATTCAAATCTATTAACAGGTTTTTAAGATATTTTGCTAACAGACAAACTGAATGCATGCCAAAGGTCAAAGGTTAATGCAAAGCTTTCAAGTTAATATCAAGCACAATGACAAGCACTTCAAATATTTGTTAGGATTCAGTCTCGGCTACAATCACAACGAATCTTAGATCGATATCTGTCAAAGTGATCGACTTAAAGCGGCTTTTGCATTTTTTACTGTCAACTGGTTTTAGTGGCCAACGTAAATCGGTTTGGCTTCAAACAATAAACAGCTGTAGAAATATAAGCAATGATTACTTTCTGCAAGACTCATTAAAATCCGTCCTGGGATTAATGAGATATTTTGATAACAGGCACCCAGACGCTGCCAAAAAAAGTTGTATTAAAAAAAGGCATTTTTTCCCATGTAATACCAGTTGTGACCAGCAGGTGTCTCCCTGTTTTCACAGCACTAGCAGCTCCTCAGTGTTTGTCTCTTAGAGTAAAAACCTGAAACTCCACCTTCCCGGTGACAGGCGGCAACACCGAAGCCTCCCGTCGCCTCTTCCAAGACAACCTGCGCTCAGGACTCAACGTTCACGCCGTAAAGGTGAGTTCCGACTCGTTATTTCAGCACGTCGCCTTCAAAAGAGTTTGTTTTGTGAGCGGAGATGGTCTAAACAAGAAAAGGACAGCGAATCGTCCGAGCGGCACGTTTTCGCCGCGCTACCTGTCCGTTACGCACGAGCGGCACCAGCTGCAGCAGCGCGCGCGTGGTTTTCACACACCAAGCGACCGTTTCAGCTCACTGGGCACGTTTAGTTTAAATGACTTGTCTTTATTTTATTTATATATAATGTGGTGGCTGTGATTCTGATAACCTGCTGTGGCTTGAGTAGCGGTTTAAACAGGTTAATGGATCAAACATTTGGAGTCCCCCCCCCCCCACCACCAGCCCCCACCCCAACACCTTAATTTCCTGCGTGCTTTCCTCGTTTTTCCCTGAGTCTTCCTCTGTGGCTGCAGCTGAGCCAGTTTCAACATGTCGACATATTGTGACAGATCTGCCACGATTGTCAGGTTTTATTCTTCTGCTATGAGACTGTCTCCCTCTCATAGAAAATATTACTGTTGGCTGAGGTTTTTTATTTTTCTCATCATAGATGCATGGTAATAATCACCTTAAATATAAGGCAGCAACAGATCAGCATCCCTGTTGCAGATTTCTTAAAGCAGAAAGCTGGATGATGTGCAACAAGTCTGACATTTCTCTTACGGAGGAGATGGAATTTGAGCAAACGCTAGGGTTTTTGACAATTCAGTTCAGTTTATTTATTTAGCGCCAAGTCACAACAGAAGTCGTCTCAGGTCACTGAACAGAAACATTCGTACAGTGTGTATATAAAAAGTAAGTTATTAACATTATCTGAGGAGCAGACCGCTTCGCAGAACTCCCATCTTGAGCAAGTTTAAAGGACACAGTGGAAAGGAAAAACTCCCTCATGAGGAAGAAACATTTAGCAGAATCAGGCTCAGGACAAGCAGCATCTGCTTCGACCGGCATTTGAGAGGAACAGATACACAATGGCAGGTCAAGAATCACATCTTTACATTCATCCATCCATCCATTTTCTTCCGCTTATTCGGAGTCGGGTTGCGGGGGTAGCAGCTTAAGTAGGGAGCCCAGACTTCTCTCCAGCCACTTGGGACAACTCCTCCTGGGGAATCCCGAGGCGTTCCCAGGCCAGCCGAGAAACATAGTCCCTCCAGCGTGTTGGGTCTTCCACTGGGTCTCCTCCTGGTGGGACGTGTCAGATCTTAAAAATGCTCAAAGCAGAAGTGGCGGAAAACTCACACATTTTAGTGTTTTATTTAGGTAATTTTATTTCAAAACTGTATAATTTAGTCTTTTTCTGTCAGATGTGATGGCTCGTAGTTCACCTTTGTGGGAAATAATCTTCAGATTAAATACTTTTCTGTTGGCATATTTTGAGAATTACATGCCCTAACATTGAGCTGAACTAATTATTGTCATACTGAGACGCTGCTAAATGACTTTTATTAAATCTGTTAGTCAACCTGACACAACTAATTACTGCAGATTAAGTGAAGCTGCCTCCAGAACGAGCAAATCCGAAAAGAATGGAGTCTTGATAATTGGAATAGATTAACTTGTGTCACCTCTGAGAATTAAAAACGATTGATTTTTAGGGTTTTCTTTAAAACAAATATCAATCCTGCCATTTTTGGGAACTGCTTGGCCTCAGTAGTCAATAACGTTTGTGTGACTGTTACTAAAATATCTCATGGACCATTAGACGAATTTTAATGAAACTTACAGGAAGTCGTTGTGTACTCTTACAACGGGAGACTATTCAAGATGGTCACCACAGCCAACTGACGTTAGCAAACATAAAAATGTTCAGCTAAAATTTGGTGTGTTAGTAGCTACGAGTCAGTCACTACCCATACTGTGAAGTTATATTGATTGTGTAGGAACTTTGCGTAAAACCTTAGTTAACTGTTGATGTTAAACATTTTTGTCTGTTAGCAAAACATCGTGTGAACCGCTGGACAGATTTTAACGAGTCTCTCGGGAAATAATCACCGGATCTACAACTGTTTACACTTTGCAACCGATCCAATTCAACATGGACAACCGACCTTAGCAAACACATAAATGGCTGTAACTCAGCCAGTTTGACAAATATTAGGCTGCAGTTTATGGTGGTAGTAGCTGAGAGTTTTTCACAACACATACTAACTCGAAATAGCCCATGAGATTGAACAAAAAGGCTACAACTCAGAAATGTCAACATATCCTAAACCTAATAAAAAAAAAAATCTAATCTGGTTTAGGTTTGACGTCTAAATGTGATTTCTCTGTTTTTTTATTTTAACAGTTATATTTAGTTGGAGCACAGACTTGAGGAAGAATTCCAAAATCAAACGACAAAAGGAACAGAGTTGCAGTAAAATAACCCATCTGAATTTGTTCAAACTAATGAGACTTTGTAAGTTTGGACGATCTGCCATTTGACTGTTGGTGGATTTATTTGCCTCTGATCCTCCAACTAATAAGAGCTATAGGAGCTTCACTGGGTGGGCTAATACATCAAAGAAACAAGGATGGACCAGTATATTTGTTTGCAACTAGTTTAATCTTGTATTTAACAGGTTTCTAACTGCAGCAGCTATTTCCAGGCCACAGTTAATTACTGTTTAACACTTCCAAGATGCGCTTTCCCAGTCTCGTCAGCCTTTTTCTCGCTGCGAGCTGTGAAAGTGCTATATTGGAAAACTCGAAGAAGTGCTTGGCGTCTGAGCGTGGGTGCGAATTGAACAAACTGCATGTGGCGATTATTGAAATATATCGTGAGAAGGGGACGAACAAGTTGTGCAAACCTCGAAGAATGAATCGTCAGCCCTTTAGCTTATCCTACAGGTTTCCCACCTCCTCCGTCTGTCGGGAAACACTTTACCTCGGCTGTTGTGGTCAGACGACATGCTTCGCTCTCTAAGGCTGAACGCTCCGACTTTACATTCTGCTTGAGGGGATTTTTAAACAGTTCAAGAGAAAATTAATTTGTTTTATTCACAATAATTTGAAAACAAGCCTGGCCTGACCCAGATAGGCTTATGAATTAAGAATGGAAATTGTTTTTGTATGATCTACTTGATGCAATCTGCATTTGTATCCAATCTTCTGATTCTCTGGGTATCACTGGAAGCCCGACCAAAGCGCATTTAGTCTGCAGTATGTTGCAACCAGAGGCCTGTTTGTGCTTGCAGCTAATACTGCAGAAAGCAAACCCTTCTGTCTGTATTTGGATTTTGGCATTATGCTAAAATGATTTCAATAAAAGATAAAAGGCATTTTTTTGGTGTCTCTCTGAGTGGGGAGGGGAGATAAAAGCCTGACCCCAGCTTTAACTGGAAGTTACACGAGCTTCCACAGCTCCAAGGAATTGTGAGAGTGGGTGGACGGGTCATGTACGCATTCCACACTATCATGGAAATGTAGCCAAACAAGCCTTTTTGCTGTTTGCACCTCTTACACACATGCAAATTGTGTTTTCAGTAAGTGTTTGGTACAAATACCTCAAATTTCTCTGCTTTTGTGCTATTTGCTGTATGCAAACTTAACAAAAGCTGGTATGGAGAAACAAAGACATAGAGGTCTATTTTTATCGCTTTTGTTTGCTAGATGGAGGCTTTCTCTACCAGTAAGTTTTGAACATGGGGCGGCTGTGGCTGAGTGGTTAGAGCAGTCATCCTCCAATGCAAGAGTTGGGGGTTCGAATCCACCAGCAGTCACATGACGAAGTGTCCCTGGGCAAGACACTGAACCCCCCCATTGCCTCCGATGTGTGTCCCATGGGTGTATGAATGTTATAAAGCACTGATTAGTTTCTTTAGAATGATTTGTTCAATTGTAGATATATTGTAGAGTGCTGTATGAATGGGTAAATGAGGGCACAGTTTGTAGTGTAAAGCTCTTTGAGTGTCTCGAAAAGATAGAAAGGCGCTATATAAGTACAGTCCATTTTACTCAATCCAGATGCAGGACTCGCGTTGCCGTTATCAGGTTTGGACTTCACAAGAAAACTGTGCACAGACCCTTTACTTCTGTCTACGGTTCAAAATGCCACAAAATGGAGCAACAAGGACGTGGTCGTACAAATTCATCTTGCGTGAGGCAAAAGTTTTGTTTGGGGGACGTTGTGCATAAAAGCAAAGCACATTTTTCCACATTGCACACACCTCTGAAGCTACAACGGGGCGTGTGGGTTTGCTGGTGGGCTGATGGATGCTTTTGGGTAGATAGGTGGGCAACTTTGCGATTCAAAAGGAAATTGCACTTTTTGAGGACACAACGGAATTGGTATCACAAAAAGATGCATTTTTAACTGTGTTTGCAATTAAAGGTTCTACTGTGCAGTTTTGGGGTGATATTTATTGACACAGAATGTTTTTTTTTTTAAATCTGATGTCATTGATTTCGTCCTTCTCACTCAGTATGGGAATTTTAGTAGATGTGCTATTTAATTTAAATAGGAAAAACGTGTCATCCATCCTTTATCTTCTGCTTGTTCTGGAGTCGAGTCATGGCAGCAGCAGCTTAAGCAGGGAGGCCCAGACATCTCTTTCCACAGCCACCTTTTCCAGCTCTTCTTGGAGAGGACTCTGAGGCGTTCCCAGTCCAGCCGAGAGGCATATCTTCAACGTGTCCTGGGTTGTCCTCTGGGTCTCCTCTCAGTTGGACATGCCCTGAAAACATTCCTAGGGAGGTACCCATCTTTACTAGATGCTTAAACCACCTCGACTGGCTACTTTCGATGTGGAGGAGCAGCGGTTCTACTCAGTGTCTCTCCCAGATAATTGAACTTCTCACTCTGTTTCTGTGGGAGAGTCCAGCTACCCTGTGGAGAAAACTCATTTTTATCGCCTGTATCCACAACTTCGTTCATTCCTTCCCTACCCTTTTTCAGAATCATCCTTACCCCACGAGGTGAGATCTTGCATGGAGCCCCAGACTGAGGAAGGTTGAGTCATCTCGTGCTTCTTCCATTTTCTAATGAATGCGCCAACTGTTGTTGCCTTCTCACC